GCTAGTGATTAAAGTAGTGATTTGTTGCTCAACTGTAACAGTTTCTTTTTGCGCAGACATTGAGTCGCATGAATAAAACTTCTTCACTAAAAGTCTTCACTCTTCAGAAAACTGAAGCTTTTGCTACAAGTCCCTAGCAAAAACATCACTTTATTCTTCAGTTCTTAATTAAAAGCATTCACTACGTCTTATTCATGAGACCCATTTGCAAGCAAGAAATAGTACTAAATAAGAACTGATTATTAGGCCGAGCCATCGACGCCATTGCCGACGAATGCAAGTTGCCGAACAATAACAACAAATCCAACGAGAAGAAACTGCGTCTTTTCAGAGAGAGGCACGCTAGTGACCCGCAAATAATATCCGACGATATGTCCAAGAGATTAAGCAGCTTATTGGCTGAGAAGGCTTTAGTGGATGGGGAAGATCTAGTTATTCAATATGTGTTTGTTTAGTCAATAATAAAGCTCTCACCTCAAAAAGCTGGTTTTTTGACACTCTCTTTCATTCGTCATGACTCCTTATGCGTGCACGCAAAATTCGGTTTTCCATATCGACTATGGGGTTCCTTTACTGGCAAGCAAGAGCACCGATTATCGGACTTCGTCTAGGAAGAACCACGACTTCATCCCCAGTCTGCCGCAGGATTTCGATTGCGTAACTATACTCCGATTTGCTTTTTGAAGTAGTTAATATGTGCTTCCTCCTTGCAGAGAGTGAAAGTGGAATTGAAACCTGAACTAAAAGAAACTGATATCGCGTTGCGAAACGAGTATAAAAGTACGTATAACGCAGATTTTCTCGGGTGCCACAATGTGGATAATGCCGTGATGGACGATCGAGCGATGGGCTGCAAGCAAACTGACTATTTGAGGACTACGGGTGAGAAAGTACGCAGCATTTGATCCACGTTGCAAAATACCTAAAGCAGACCAGCGATTTTTTTCTGGTAGATCTTCAGAGAGTCAGTCTCTCATAATAGCACAAACATTTCGGAGATGAAAGGTGCCTTCATTTTTCACAATGGGAGGCTTCCTCGAGAGAACCCGCCGCTTAACTTTACTTGTGAGGTATTTTTCGCTGAGTTACCATTGAAATGTTCTCTCATTGATGCCATTGGATGATTTAAATTAGATACCAGAGTGCTATACAGCACTACAGCCTGACGTTAATCCTGCCGACAGCGGCTTTTTCAAATACCAAGACATTTATTTGAGCGGAAATCGATCCGACTACCCACTCCACACGAAGCAGCAATTCACCAGAGCCCGGGAGCACATTTTTACTATTTACGACCAACATTCCGGAACACATAAGGTACGGGCTTCCAGCCAGCCGTTAGCTAGACTTACAGATGCGTATTCCTGCAGGAGTCAAAGGACGAGCTGCCATGCAAACTCGATGGAAACAAGACCATGTTTGATAAAGGACATCTTAAACGCCAACTGCCCAATCGAATTTCACCAAAAACAGCAAAAAGAGTGGTGAATTTGTAAGTCTACAGGGTGATTCAAAATTGGCGTCATTCCTTTTAGGGTAAATAGGGGCCCACTTAGAGAGTACGAGAAAAATATTGGAAATTTTTGAAGTG